ACTCCTGTATTGACACTAATGCACAAGTAAACGCGTAGAAATTTGGATCTAGGTAGGATCTTATTGACCATCTATCTGGTCCCCCGCTTTACTGGTGAGGAAACTCTAGGATGCAGGATTAATAACACGTTTCCTGGCAGAGCTGGGGATAGAATATACAGGGATGGAATATAAACCTCTCAATTCCTATTCGGTAGAGTCTTTTTCCTTATTGTTGTTTTGTGTTAAAGGTTATGTACTGCCACAGACTAAAAACTTTTCCTTGAATTGGCATGAAATCCTCATCAGGCTCTGTGGTGTGTAGGCACATTCTGAGCAGTGGCGTTGTTCATGGCCAGACTGTGAATAACTGGAGTCTGCACCCTGAGTCCGTGGCTTGACGTGCTCCATAGCATCTGGGGACATTCCTGACACACACATTTACTTCCTAGTTGGGGAGATCAATGAGCAGCGTGAAAAGCCACAGGTCTCCATTTTTGGGGGGAGCTAGCTCTCTCCTGAGTCAGCAACAAAAACTTACTAAAACTATCTCAATCCAGGAGAACTTTTATCAGAGTTCTGGGTAGTCGTTCACTACTATTTATATACCTCTGTTTGCTGACAACAGTCACTCAGTTTCTTCTGAGCACAGAATACGTTCCCAGGGGTCACATGTAAGAGCTCAAGGAAGACACGAAATCTCCCCAACTCAGTCTTGCACTTAAGAGCTTACAGTATAATGGTAGGAAAAAAAATGAGATGTTGAAAGATGCAAAACATAGAAGGAGTCAAACTCATTCAAAAACATATACGGTCAATATACATATAAGTATATGTCAGTTAACAGTGTCCTGTAAGAGAATACTGTTTTTCCGAAATACCATGTGTACGTGCAAGTATTGGCTAGAGATTTTATTTTTCTTGTGCTGCTTCTGATTGATGCCTTAAATAAATGCCTCAATAGAAGGTTTCCTTGGTTCTCTGATAACTCATTTCCCCACTATGAATATTTTACTGCCCTTGCTTTATCAGTGTCCCTTCTGGTGTGGGCTCTGAGTGTGTAGGCTGGGGCTCTATAACTTGAACTTTTATGTGTGTCTTTGGATAAGTAAAAACAGAGCCGAATGTTGTTAGATGGGTTTTGTGTTAGTCTTTCTGCAGCCCAGGACATCGAAAGCCGCACACTCATGAGCTGAGAGAAGGTATTCAAGGCAACTAAAATCTGTGTTTTATGGTGCAGTTAACAACTCAGATTATTGGAAGATTAAGTTACCTACTCAGTTTAGTCGAGATGATACATTTTGCTTGTATAAACTGGGTCATTAAGTGAGTTACATTTAGGTATTAAGCGTTTACCTGTGGTCACAGGGAAGTGTCCTGTGAGACTATAGAAATTCAGCCTCTAATCATTTCTTCACATAAGAGCTTTCAATATATAAGGGTAGAGAAAAAGTACAAACATGGAATACAGAGGAATTGACACAACTAAGGTTGAATTGACTTTGTTTGCAGTCTCAATGGTAGAATATACCTCTAATAATCATTTAAATATTTGTAGCAAGATCAAAATTCTGCGGATTCAAAAAAATTCTATAGATATTTTTTATTCTGCATTCTGTAGGGACACTTGGAAATTTAGGAGCACTTGGATTGCAAAATCAGATGAAAAGTCTAATGAAATATGGTTAGTGAGGAAGAAGGGAGCATCTTTCGGAGGGTTTTGCCTAACCCACCTGAATCATTTTACTTTTTGCAGAGTTGAATGTCCAGCTCACTCTCCATAGTTTTGACGCCTGTCTGAGGCTAAGGCAAAAAGACAATGACAGAGGGCAAAGGGTGCTGGTCATGTGTTTGTACAAAACACCTGACTTTTTCCCTGAGAAGTGTCAAGTGTTCAGGGTGAGTCATTGAAACTATAGCATTTGGACTTTATTTGTTCATAGGAAATACTTGACTAGCAAACTAAAATTCTTGTGTTTTCTTTTTTTCTGAGGAAGATTTGCCCTGAGCTAACATCCACTGCCAATCTTCCTCTTTATGTATGTGAGCCACTACCACAGCATGGCCACTGACAGACGAGTGGTGTGGGTCTGCGCCTGGGAACCGAACCTGGGCTGCTGAAGCAGAGCACACCAAACTTAACCACTAGACCACCAGGGCTGGCCCAGTTCTTGTGATTTTTGAACTGTGAATGCTCTGGTGGTATATCCCAAATAATTATGTGAAAGAGAAGAAGTTCTGGTTTTAGAATTGGTGGAGAAGATGTGAAAATGTACCAAATATGTCTGAATGTGAGGCAACCCCGAGTATAAGATGATCTTCCTCTTTCCCAAAGATAAAAAAGGTTGTTTTTTATTGTTTGTTTGTTTGGTTTTTGCCAATACAGATATTGAGTGTACCTACTTTGTACCAGGAATTATTCCTGGCTCTGAGGATGCAAAGAAAAAAATGCAAAAAGAGAAAAAAGACAAATCATCACTCTCTTAGGGCTTATATTCTAGCAAGTAAATTATACGGAATGTTAAAAGTGCTATAGAAAATGCCATAACTAGAAGGACCCACAACGAACAATATACAACTATGTACTGGGGGGCTTTGGGGAGAAAAAGGAAAAAAATTAAATCTTTAAAAAAAAAGTCTGTTTAAAAGTGCTATAGAGAGTAATAAAGTAGGAGAAAAAATCTAGGGGAATGCTGGCTGTGCCAGAGAGACAAAGAGAGTGTGTGTGTGTTGTGTGTGTGTGATTTGGGGTGGGGGGGGGGTGACTGCTGTCTCACATGGTGGCATGAAAGCATGGATGTAGATGAGATGAGGGAGTGAGCCATGCACTTATCTGGGTAGGAGCACGGAGTTCAGAGACCTTGAGAGAGTGTGCTTGGCATTTAAGGAGTAGCTAGGAGGCCAGTGTGGCTGGAGCAGAGTGAGTGAGAGGGAGCATAGTGTAGGAGTAAGGTCAGAGGAAATGAGGAGAGGCTAAAGATGAAAATCCAGGTTGACTATCTAAGGGTCATACGGAGGCGGCATAGCCACAGTGCACATTTAATCTATCTGTATGTCACATGCAGATGGCCAGGGCTCTTAGGACATTGTAAGGATCTTGTCTTTTACCCTGAATGAAATGGGGACCTTGGAGGATTGCAGGTGAGAAACATGACTTAAGTTTGAAAAGGATCCTTCTGACTTGTGAGTAGGTTGAAAGGGGCAAGGGACACCACTTAAAAGGTTATTGCAGTAAACCAGGTGAGAGATGATAAGTAGTATTCCATAGTGTGACTATACCACATTTTGTTTATCCGTTCCCTTTTTTCTTCAGTTTTATTGAGATTAACTGACATATAATGTTTCATTAGTTTAAGGTATACAATATAATGATTTGATACATGTAAATATTGTGAAATGGTTGCCACAATAAGTTTAGGTACCATTATTCACAAACAGTTAACAATTTTTTTTGTTGATGAGAACTTTTAATATATACTCTCTTAGCAACTTTCAAATGTACAATACAGTATTATTAACTGTAGTCACCATGCTGTACATTACATCCCCAGGACTCACTTGTCTTATAACTGGAAGTTTGTACCTTTTGATCCCCTTCATCCATTGACCTCGCCACCCTCGCCTCTGGCAACCAGCAATCTGTTCTCTTTATCTCTGAGCTATATTTTTTTAGATGCCACATATAAGTGAGATCATACAGTCTTTGTCTTTCTCTTTCTGACTTATTTCAGTTAGCCTAACACCCTTGAGGTCTATCTGTGTTGTTGCTAATGGCAGGATTTCCTTCTTTTTTATGGCTAAATAATATTCCATTATGTATATTTCTTTATCCATTCATCCGTCAGTGGACACTTAGGTTGTTTCCATGTGCAGATATCTTTTCAAGATAGTGATTTTGTTTCCTTTGGATGTATGTACACACATAGAAGTAGAATTGCTGGGTCATATGATAGTTCTATTTTTAATATTTTGAGGGATCTCCATACTGTTTTCCATAGTGGCTGACCAATTTACATTCCAACCAACAGTGTTCCCTTTTCTCCCCATCCTTACAGTACTTGATATCTCTTGTCTTTTTGATGATAACTATTCTAACAGGTGTAAGGCTATATCTTCTTGTGGTTTTGATTTGCATTTCTCTGATGGTTAGTGAGCATTCACTTGTTAATTAAGATTGTGGTTATTTCCAGTTTGGGGATATAATGACTAAAGGTTCTAAGAGTATCAGTGTACAAGCCTTTGTGTGGATATATGTTTTCAGAGCTTTTAGCTAAATCTCTGAGAGTAGAATGACTGGGTCGTGAGTTAGGTCTATGTTTAACTCCTAAGAAACTGCCAGTTTTCTAAAGTGGTGTTGCCATTTTACATTTCTGCATACAGTGTATGAGAGTTCCAGTTGCTCCACATCCCAATGGGCACTTGGTCTTTTGGTCTTAGCCATTCTAGTTGATGTGTAATGGATCTTACTATGGTTTTAATTTGCATTTTCCCTGATGGCAAATGCTGATGAGGGGTGTCTGGATTTTAATCTCTTCATCCAGAAGGTTTTTTAATCCTCATTGTTGAAACTTTGGTTCTTTTCAGCTGAGGCTCATAATAACTTTTATTTATTTATGTATTTGTTCAGTCGTGGTTGGTACGTTAGTATGCTACACTTTTATTTATTTATTTTTAACTTTTGACCCCTCACAATAACTTTTAAAAGTATTCAAAGGATATATTATGATTTATTAGAGGTTGGCAATGGCTTATATAGCTTCATGCCTTTGTTTTTGGGAAACAAAAATATTTAAAGTGGGAAAGTATAATACTGATATTATTAATTCAATCTCACTTTTAAGTCATTTATGTCCGATAGTATAATTTAAGTTTATGCTTTATTTTATGTAGGGTCTGACTATTACTTTCTATATTTTATCCTTTAGGATGAGAATGCATTCCGTGTGATAATAACAGGTCTAGGTAAATATAAATTATCTCTAAATATTCAACTGAAGTGAGGATTTTTAATTCTTTTCCAGGTTCCTGATGTTATCAGCAGCATAAGGCAGTTATCTAAAGCTGCCATGAAAGAGGATGCCAAACCCAACAAAGATAACGAGGACGCCTTTTACAACTCTCAGAAGTTTGAAGTCTTGTACTGCGGCAAGGTGACGGTGACCCACAAGAAGGCCCCGTCCAGCCTCATTGATGACTGCATCGAAAAGTTCAGCCTGCACGAACAGCAGCGCCTGAGGATCCAGGGGGAGCAGCGCGGTGCGGATGCCGGAGGCGAGGACTCCGCCGTCTTCGAGGCCGAGGCGCCCGGTTCCCCCGCAGGCATTCTGTTGGAGGAAGGGGATGGCGTCACCAACACCCACCCTGCCTTAGCAGCCCCGGCCAGCCAGCCCGGACCGTCCAGCTCTCGAGGGTGCTTCCCTGAGCGGATTTTGGAAGATTCTGGCTTTGATGAACAGCAGGAGTTCCGGTCTCGGTGCAGCAGCGTCACTGGAGTCCTGCAAAGGAAAGTTCACGAGAACAGCCAAAAACCACAGCCTCGAAGGAGACATGCCAGCGCGCCCAGTCACGTACAGCCCTCCGATTCGGAGAAGAACAGAACAATGCTGTTTCAGGTGCGGCCCTGGCAGGGGGCTCTCCCGGGTTTCGTCATCCATTGCTAGACAGAAGCTGCCGGCTCCAGCTCCTGCCCGTTCCTCATTCTGCAATAATCCGATGTTTATTTCTTACCCCCTGGGAAGCAGATAAAGCAGATGGAGAGCAAAGAAAAGTAGTGAAGGGGTGAGAGGCAGACGTGGAATGTGAATTGTAAGAAATTAGGGAGCAGGGAAAGGAGGGGAGGGGAAAGAAGTTATTAAAGGAGCATCATGGAAAGCTGGTGGAGAGAATCAGAGTAGACTGCTCCTAGTATCTCCACCATTTGCCTTAGGTCCATTATTAGATGTTGTTGTTGTTTCTTAAATGACAGAAAGCCAATCTTATAAAGGATTTAAAGATGTGACTCTGGGAGAGTGTGAATAGGCATGGAGGAGAAAAAGGGAGTATTCTAGAGAGGAAAAAAGAAGTCGAGAGACTCGTAGGTGTATTTTCAGAGGAGAATACCCCAATTTACTCTGTCACACAAAAAGAAAGGTTAAGGAAACACCTCAGGCCTGATAATTTACTGGACTAGTTATTAAAATAATTGGGTGCAAGCTGTATTATAAGTGTAAAAGATAATTCTAAAAAGTAGTTTTTGAAGTTGTACATGATATAGAAAATGTCAAGTTCCACTTAAAGGAACTTGGTTTGTAACAATGCCCTATAGAGGTTCTTTAATTAATCCTCAGCTTTGAGGATTAACTTGAGTTTCCCTTAGATTTGAGTTTTCCTGAAAAAATGTGTCCTTTTATCCTGTTGTAAAGAACCCTTGAGAAGGAAATTCTGCAGTTACCTTGATAAACAGTCCCGGTGTGTAATATTTGCTTTATCGGAAGTTCATAGGTTTTTTGTTTTGTTCTGTTTCATTTTTGATAACTCTAGGCATGTAAAGTGTCTAGAGTCTTTTCTTGGATGATATGTTAACTGAGTTTCCTCTCTTATTTGAGCTATTAGATTTGTTCTTTTTCTTAACTAGCACAGTCCTTGCTGTTAATTTTTTAAACGGTTGTTTATTTTTAAAAATTTTAACTTATCCATCCAATTGCAAATATATCTTTTCCTTACCATTTGGGAGAACATATGGTTACAAATTATAATTAAATAATTGGTATTTTTAGAAATCATGAAGTGAGGAAAGTTTACTTTTGTTTTTTAAAAAAACTGTGATTTCTAATCTGGAAAAAAAATGGTTTTTTGTTTCTTGTAAATTAAGACCAACTTAACTTTCATGATTTTTAGACGAAAGGAAGACATGTTTTGAGACGGCTGATATTTAGGTTGAAATGTTGGTTGGATTGGATGCTGATGCACCTGTCAATGAAATATCTGGGAGATAGTATTTGCATCTATATCATTAGATGAATATTTAATTATAAAGTAAGAGGTTAGGTTCTTGTGAGTTTCAATTAATTGGAATGTCTTTATTTTTAAGGTTGGGCGGTTCGAGATTAACCTTATCAGTCCAGACACTAAATCAGTTGTGCTTGAAAAGAACTTTAAGGATATCTCTTCTTGTTCTCAGGTATGTACTGAAGTAGATCCTAGTATTTGAAGAAACCAACTAAATCTTGTTTCTTAATTAATCACAAAATAGCTGAGCTTAATGCTTCAAATTTTAGTATGTTTTTAATTTTAATTATTTTCATGTAGATTTGTTTTAAACCAAGAGTGTTCATGTGTTTGTGTCTGTGCCATTAATAAAATCCTTTCCGGGTCCCTCAGTATCATAATGGTTTATCCTTATTATTGTCTACCCTGTCTCCTTGGAGCATCACTTCATCAAAGTCCTTCCAGTGACGGAATTTTTCTGGTGATGAGTTCTTGTGAAAATACCCTCACGGTCAGCGGTCCCCAGACTCTTGGGCAGTGGGACACGTGGGTATCACTGAGTCATGCTTGTTCTTTATACGGTGGTAGGTAGTAAAAGAAGAACTAGTACTTTCAACTTCTAGTAATGTAAATGCCAAATTTGGAAAAGAAGGTTTTGGCATATTTTTGTTCTTTTATTTTTAATTTGCAAACTGTGTATTTGAAAGTTTATGAAATAATTGAGACACGTAAATGTGTACAAGGTCATATTAAGCATAAACTAGTGTCCTAAGTACCTTTGTAATAATTTAGCATATCTGTCCAGAAGTTAGAGCTACCTAAATGTGTGGTAAACATAGAAAGGATTTTTGAAGATTTGGAATGGAGGAGTATCTAAATCTAGATATGAGAAGGTTGAGAGTGCACAGATGCTTCTGAGGAGGTCCTTGGAACAGAGCAGGATTAACTTCTTTCCTAGCAAGGTGACTTGGAGGTATCTTCAGGGACCTGGATCTTGTCAAGGTCCCTTTCCATATTTTAGTGTTGAAAAATCAAGATTAGCATTACCATAGATAGGATATTCAGACATTCTTTCCTTCAAAAATAACAAGCTTTTATATGTCTTAATTATTCGCCTCAGCCTCAACTAATGCGGTTTCACTCGTCATATCTTAATATTTATTCTATTATAAGGAGACATGAAATTATGTTGTGAAGATAAAAATCTTCTACTCTAATAACAGAGAGAGGCAGCATCTGACTGTTAGAAGAATATATTGCAATTTTTAAATTCCCATTTAGAGGACAAAAAATTTGGTAGAAAGATTATTCACTTTAACTGAAAAAGTGTTTTTTAAGCATTCTTGTAATTCCCTGTTTACTGGGGGTCCCTGCAAGACTGTAAGCTCTGTGAGGACAGGTGTCTTATTCTGTGGTGTGTTATTCTGTAGCGCATCAGCATAAGATGTGTTCAGACAAAGCTTAGCACTTAGGTGTTCTGTAAATGTTGAATGAATATTTCTACATGTTGGGCCTTGTGCTTAGCACAGGGGAGAGAGAGGTGTGCAAACCAGTGGGGTTCCTGCCCCCCAAAGCTCAAAGACTCAACCTAAAAAGCTGTGCCTCCCCTCCACACTCCCCAAGCCTCCCAGTAAGAAAACTAGCAATGCTCATTGAACATCCAAAGGAAAAAAAAAAAAAATAGTGGAGGGAGGGAAAACAAAGAAGAAAAGAACCAGCCAAACCAAATATACAAAACTGGCAGTTCAAACATGATTTTTTTCTTTTTTCTTTAAAGCAAGCTTTGTATTCTGACATTCTGGTTCAGAAAAAGAATTAAACAAAAATATGAGGGAAATTTGTGGAAAGGCGTTTTTATTTTTTGCTTGAGGAAGATTTGGCCTGAGCTAACATCTGTTGCTAATTATCATCCTCTATTTTGTCTGTGGATCACCACCACAGCATGGCTGCCGATGAGCAGTGTAGGGCTGTGCCTGGAAACTGAACCCACCAAACTCAACCACTAGGCCATGGGGCCGGCCCTGGAAAGGCTTTTGATCAGAATAATGGTCAGGTTAACCTTGCTCCTCACTGAGTAGCCCTGCTCTTCTTAACTTCTTTCCATAGAATTGAACTGATATAATATAGCCACATTCAGGAACAGGGATGGTTTCTAACACATGCACACCTACAATGTTTCTTTCTTCAAAATCTGTAGGACTGTTTCCCTGGCAAGCGTGGGGGAATAAGGGAGTGGTTTTCTTTACTGGAAACATTACCACTGCCTGAAGACTCGCTAAGCTAATGAGGTCCTATGAATTTTTCCTGTTTAGTACTGAGCTAGTGTAAGATATTCTTTAATCATTAATGAGTTGTACCAGGTGGAGCTTACTTTCACCTCATGAGTTGTAACCTCACTCCTGATTGACCTTTTTCTTTTTACCTGAGTTGATTTCCTTTTTCCATGTCTTTTGGATAGATTGAGTTTATGAGTATAAGCAGAGTGGTTACCATTTTTCAAACACACCAGGAGCTATAGTAGATATTTCTTAGTTCTCAGTCTCAAAAATTCCTGACAGTAGGTGCCCTTACTACTATTTTGTAATGAGAAATGCAGCCTCAGAGATAATTATTAGCAACCTGGAACAAACTCTCATGCCTAGTTGCTTGGTTGAACCTAGATTGAAGCACAAATCTCTCTGACTGAAAACCTTGTTTTCCTTTCACTGGGATGTAAATTATTGCAGGACAACATTAAATTTTTTGTTTATCTGGCTTTTCAAAACACTGTGCTTGCTATTGAAATAAGAAGGTGCTGTCTACTAATTGCTATGTATGTATTCAGGCTGATTGAAATTCACAGATGATTCAGAATTTTTTGTTAAGTGTAGCTGAGGTTTTTTCACCTGTATTCAGGAAGTCCAGTGATTTGTGAATTTGTATAATTGAGGTCTGCAAAAGTTTCTTTAATATATTAGTCTTCTAACTGTTGTGGCGCCTTGAATGTCTTTAAATAGACAAATATTCTGTTATTTTTAATGCATAGTTTAGGAAATTGTATGCCATTTAATTAGAGCATTGTCAGTTGTAGTTTTTATGGTTCTTAAGCTCATATGGACAAGAATAGGGTTTATGATGAATCATTAGCCTGCCTGTTCTAAGACCAATAAATTGAAAACTCCATTACTGCAAACACTGAGTAGTGGTTTTATCAGGAAAGACAGTGGATCATGCCATCGTATTTTTCTTCTTGTGGCTCTGAGTCACAGAGCGTTTGTCAGAAACAAAACAATCTGAGTTAGTTTCATCTTTTATTTTATGTATCAAAGGCCTCTACATAAATTCGCTATGACATTGTGTCCCCATCACAGTGCTGTGAAGGAGAAATGCATGGAGGTGTGAAAGCATAGAACCAACATTGATTTCCCTAGTGTTGATTAAAAGGACATATTCCCATGAACACTGCCCTTCTTTTTTCCCTCTAGGGGATAAAGCACGTTGATCACTTTGGCTTTATCTGTCGGGAGTCGCCAGAGCCTGGGCTGAGCCAGTATATCTGTTATGTGTTCCAGTGTGCCAGTGAATCTCTGGTAAGTGCTGTGTTTGCTGTCCACGTGCTCCTGCCCACAGAGCCTCGTCTCTTATGAACCCAAGCCTCAGAAAGCAGCTCTCAGGGGGAAAAGAAGAGGGCATCTCTTAGAAAGCCTAGGTACTTGCTTGAGTTTAACAAATCCAGTCATGTTACCAGGAGTATTTTTAAAAGGTAGGAAAAGACTAATAATAGAAGAGCTATTTTTCCATTGCTCATGTAAGAAGATAAGGAAGACCTCTTATTCTCTTAGTTGCTGTAATATCTCGGAGAGTATAGTGCTTATATCAACAGAGTAGAGAATGATTTTGTTTTTTCCCTTTATTTCATTAGCCCTGTCCTCATTTTTTAAATACTTTTATTTTTTATGGTCTTATTTTAGCCTTCATTTTCTTTCTTTGGAATTTGGAAGTCAGTTCTTCTCTCCAACACTCCCACCCCCTCCCCTTTTATGGGGGCAGTTGGAGTTCAAGAAGAAAAATGTAAGGCAAACTTGGAAATACATCTGAGTGTCTAAAAATGTGTTGATATTTTTCCCTAAATTTTTTTACTTATTCTTCCACTTGTGTTACCTCTCCTATTTGAACATAACCCTTTAGATGTATGACCATACTTTGAAAAAAAAAATTTCCTCAGATATGTAATCCTCTCACAAGCATTTCTGTCAGGGAAGCACACACCACTTAGACATGTACAAATAAGCCAGGCAGCTTTCTCCTCGTTTCCTTGGTGCATATTACAATCATTCCTGCTTTACTCTTGCCTTCCATATTCCCACTGTGGACACTGAGTTTAGGAATAATAAAGAAAGGGGGCTGAATTGGTACAAAGGCACTTTTTGACTAGTGCTCTCTGGGTCTCAACCTTTTTCTCTAGGGAATATAGCACTCTCATCACTAACAGTTTCTTACTCAAGAGAGTTTCATTTGCGTTTTGTTCTCACTCTAGATAATTAACTATGCCTATGAGGAATCCACATGTTTGTATGTAGGTGACCGCTATATAATAGGTTCAGTTCAGGACTCAAGATAGAAATTTGAGAGTTCTTATTGTGTAAATAATAACATATAACAATAACATGTAATATAACAATAATATATATGGCAACATAATAATAATATGTAAGGCGTGGGGATGTCTGAGCACCTAGGGGAAGAAAGAGAGAGAAAGCCAAAGAGAACTAGTGATACAACACTGGAAAATCCCAACCAAGTAAGTGTTAGGGAGAAAATGATAATCTAGGATACTCTGCCCCATGCCCCACTCCCTACCCCATCCCCTGCCTGTTTCACCTTTCATTCCTTTCCTCCTCTTTCCCTTCTCCTATCTAAGACTGATTCTTTCCCCATATGCTAGATCCCTTACACTCTTACCTTCCCTAAACCTGTCATATATCTCATATTTTATTGTGGCAGTTTCATTTACCCGACTTCCCAATTTAGAAACCATGATGCATTCTCTTTTACCTTCTCTATCCACTTGCTCACCAAATCCTATTAATTTAAAGATAGAAATGTCCCTTATATCCATCTCTCCTCCTTTTCTGCTATGTCTGCTCCCTGATTCTGGACATTCGTTTTCTTTACTTAGACTACTGTATTAGCGTGCTAACTAGTCTGCCTGCCCCTGCTTTAATCCGTCGTCTGTCCACTTTCTTCATTATGCTATAGCTTTATGTCTCACAAAATTTCCTCATCAGAAACCAATTTATGCCTCTTTGTTAAGGGACAAAAATCTAGATTGTTTAGCATGGCAGAAGGGCCTTCCTCATTCTTTTCTAAACCCCACTGGAAGACCATTTCCTTGCACATGCTGTTCCGCCTCCTAAGCTCTTCTCCAGGCCAGACCGCAGAGGCTGGTGTGATGGTTGGTGTGATGTTGCTTTTATTTGGTTCGCTACCAAAGCAGCAAATGGTTTGTGCATGGGACACGTGAGATCAAGGATGTGAGTGAGGGGCTGGGGCCCACAGAAGCGCAGCTGAAGTTCTGCAGTCACTGTTGGCTGCGTGGAGTGAGGAATCTGTGCGTCAGAGGTGGCCAGAGCCTGGGCTCCCTGCTTTTGTACTGTCAGACAGGGAAGGCGATCCTGTCGCCTCAAGGGTCCGCCCTGCTACTGAAGAGGGAGATTGTGCTATGCTTTCGTTGTCAATTTCCTGGTGGCCTTCCTGCTGCTTCATTGGATGTGAAGCAGATCTGGCCTTGCTCTACTGTGACTTGAATACCTTTCCTTCTTTTCCACTGTGCATCTTTTTAGAACCAGGCTTAAATATCACATCCTATTGTTAAATATCACATGCCTCTTCTGACACCTTCTTTTTCAGGAGTTGACTCCTTTAGTTGCTCTGTCGTCAGTGCTCTTGCGGCACCTTGTTCATAGGCTCTAACAGTTCCTATGAATCCCCACACTTATTTATTTGTTCACATAACTTTCTACTCCACTAGACTGTGAATCCCACAAGGTTAGAACTGTTCCTGCTCTTGTCATACCCCCCAGTGTTGCTAGACTAGCAGGTGCTACATGTGTTTTGAGTGATTGAGTGTGTTACTCTTAACTTCAGGTAATCATTTTCTAGGTGCTAGTTAATCTTTGGTTATTGGATAACCTGCCCTAAGAGGAAGACCAGTAAAACCTTCTTATTTCCAATCGCTTTTACGAGTTTTGTTTTGCTTGTTGTTTTTAGTATTTTCGTTTTACCCTTGTGCATGGAGAATGAGTTTTTGAAACAGGAAGTTAGAGTAGAAAGTCTGGGAACGTACTGCATTTTTCCACCTTAAGAAGCTCTGTGACTAAGGCAACAGACTAGACTGGCTGAGAATGTCTTCCTATTACATTGAAGCTGTGTCAGGATGTCAGTTTGGGCTTTGTTGTTCTTAAGAACAGACATATGCCAGAATCTTTGCAACCCTGTTTCCTCTAATTTTATCAGTAAGCATCTGAACTGAATAGTGAAGCATCAGAACTGCAAGCTAGAAGAAAAATTAAATGCAAATTTCCTGTATAACAGACGATAGCTCAAGCATCTGACATATAGAATACAACAAAACAGTCAGTTAAATATTATAGGTCTAAGTAGTGTTATGATTGATGTGGCTTGGCAGTTGTGTAAGACAAAGTGTTGCAAAACCACACGTGCTGACTTATCTTCTCTGAGTACAAACAATACACACCTAGCATTTTCTTTTGCTTCTTTGTAGCAATCGCTTTGAATTGCTGAACAGTGTAGTGTTGGATGGGCCCTGGAGGGTCACGCTGGAAGTTTAGATGCTCAGGACTCCTTCCTTCCTTCCTTCCTTCTTTGGAAAATAGACAGGTGGCTTAATCTTGTTTAACCAACCCTTGAGATTTGTAGAAAATATCCTTTCTGTTTTCTCCAAAATTGACTTAAAAGGTGTGAAAAAAAATGTAAGTTACTACAACTTATAGACAAAGAAAAAGTAAAACTCCACAGATGCAGACAGCAATATCCAGGAGAAGTACAACCAAAAGAAGAGAAAAGACCCAGAACTTGTTTGGGGTTAATAGTTTAAATTTTTCCAAAGACTTAGACTAGAAAATCTTTTGAAGTCCTTACACTTTCTGTGATTCTTAGACTTATTCTCAAATATTATAAAATACCTAAGTTTAGTATGTAAATGTTTATGAGCATTATCTTCATTATGGATTTTCACCTTAATATTATAAATTGGCTTTCTTTGTCCTCTCTCATACTTTTCACTGGAAATTTGATTTTGCCTGATGACAATGCTAAGAGTACTTTCTTTTTGATTGCATATGATTGATTTATCTTTGCTCATTCCTGTACTTTTAACCTTTTAACACAACCTATGATTTTTTTGTGGTTGTGTCTAGACTAAAACAATTAAGTTATTCCTAGTGCACTAATTTGAACTTTTAGTTGCTCTGATCCCATGATAGAATTTTTAGGCCATCTGGAAAGAATGGTGGATTAAAAAAAATAAAACATTTAAAACTTTAGAAGTTAAAGTTTTTAGTAACATTTGTGGCTGGGAGAAATTGGTAGCCACATTTCAGATACCATTGAAATGGCCTTTTGTTTCATCTGGAAATAGAGAAGAAAATATGAAAGTTCAGTATTTTCATTGGAGGCCTTTTACAAGGCACTGTTACTAAATGACAAATAATAAACCTATGTGAAAACTAAGCAGATGCTTCACCCCTTCAGTGACTTAAATAAACGAGAAACAAGAGTATAGAAATAAATATCTGCATAAGTAATTGAAAGTGCTTTTGAATACATAACAAGGCAAATGAAATCAAAATGCAAAGACATTAAATCTTTAGTGCTTTTACTTTCAAGAATTCAAAATCTTTATTTTTTAATTATGGTGTAAAAGAACAGATTTTATGAATAATTCTTATTCATGATACGATGTGAAATTACTCATAAGCCTTTTAAAAAGTTGATAGTATAGAAAAACATAACTGAATAATGACTGGCTGCCTAGTGTATGATCTCTGCTCTCAGTAATATGAGAACAATAAAGTTTCTTGTTATTCTAGGTTCCTCATACCCTCAAATGCAGAAATAGATTAAATCCTTTAAATAATAGCTTCATCTTAAATCAAGCCATAGGCGAAGGAGAAAAAAGAGTCTTAAAAAAATGGTTTACCGAGCATGGTGAATGGTTTTGGACATCAAAGCTGGTTCGGATGTGGTCCTTAGTACTCCCGTAGCTCTGCTGTGCAGGTTTTAGACTTTGATCTAAATTCTACAGTGTGTGGGAAACCACACCTTACATTGATGATTGTGTCACAGAGAAGGAGACATGGCCTGAAGTCGGTTTACCCACCATGAGGATAAGGATGCTGGTTTACCCAGCATGAGGATGTCAGTTGACCTCAAAGAACCAAGTGGGAAACAAGAAGACAAGATTCAGACCTCTTGCCTGAGTCGTTAGAAGAGCAAGAAAGAAACTAGCTAGCAGTTTTCAAGCTGCTGGCCTAGTGGTGAGACTCAGCTATTGGACAACACAATGTCACAGCTTCCTAGTGTTACAAATCAGAAGTGAAATGATAATAAATTAGATGCCATAGAGATAAGAAGCAGCAACCTTCATAGACTTCCCCCAACGTTATTTAAGTTGAATTCATTTTCCCCCAGAACTTTGTCTAAAAACGTTTTGTTTGGTTTTACACTAAAAATTATCCAGAAGGATAAAGTAGCATACTTATTAACACAAGTGAATGTTAAACCTATCTTATTGCTCTCTATGTGTGGCAGACAAAATTTCCAAAGAGATCTTTATCTGGTAAGCTACTTAATTAAACAAAGACCTGACTGACTGTCAGTTAACAGGCCTGTGACAGTATAACACTCACTGGGATTCAAAAATAGCGTTCGAGTAACAGGTCAGTGTTATACGACACGCATTAAAATGGTCTTATTTCATCCAGCTTTCAATTCTATGTATAATTGAAGGTCTAACTTCGAGACAATCTTTTCTCTCTGCTAGCTCTGTAGTCATCAAAATTCCATTATTTATTATCTAGTCAGCGTCAACAAAGTCTCACATCACTCTTGGGCTTTTAATGTGCTCCCATGAAAGCAAACGTTTATAGACCTGAGTCTTGTTTCTTCTTGTAGGTGGATGAGGTAATGCTGACTCTGAAGCAGGCTTTCAGTACGGCCGCAGCCCTGCAGAGTGCCAAGACCCAGATTAAGCTGTGCGAGACCTGCCCTATGCACTCTTTGCATAAGCTCTGTGAAAGGATTGAAGGTATGGTATAACTTGGCCTTGGCAGAACAGGAGTTTGCTTTGGCATTTGGGAAGTGAGAAAGTTGCTACTCTCATTGAAGGGTTCTTTGTTCCAAGACGAAACAAGAGCCCAAAGAATCATTTCTCTTGTCCAGTCAAATTTGTGTTGTCAGTCTCTGCTACGTGCTTGGCTTTTTCTTCTCTTTCTCTATCTTTTTTACGTTTCATTTTTCTTCTGAAGGCAGACTCAAGAAAGGGATTTGTGTTTCCCACAGTTCTGAAGACGCGGCTGTGTGCATAGCGGGAACTGAGCAAATATTTCTTGGATGAATGAAGAGAAGCAAAACCAGCCAGAATGTCTACTGTTTACCTAAGTCTTTCTTTTTTCCCTTTCTCACTTGATATGTTCCTTTTTTCCCAAAGTTTCAGGAATGAAACTTGAGTAGTTTCATTTGAGAGACATTTGAAAATCATGGAGATGATAGGCATCGTATCATAAAGCAAATTTTTAATTAAAAAAAGTATTCTGAGGAGGGGAGAGGGGCATGAGGGAGAGAGAGAGGTGACTCTAATTCACTTTCCTTTTCTTCTCGTTATCTCTTACTAACAAAAAAAGGTTGAAAACTATTGCACGAGAGAAGAAACATAATTTAATCAATACCTATTAAGCATCTACTATGAGCCAGGTAATGTGCTAGGCACTGGGGATACAGAAATGATTGAGATGTGGACTAGGCCATCAGAAAGCTTACAGTCTAAAGTGGAAGATAGGCATGTGAGCAAGTAAATGCAATTCGTTACAATAGGTGTTATAGTAAATGCGGAGAGTGCAGACTCCAGAACAAAGCAGAGAATGGACTAGTCATTGTAAAGGCAAATTGTGATTTCGGTTCAGTAGGCAGCAGAATCATAGGCTTCTGTCAAAATCGGGGATGAACAGCGGTGTTTACTGAATATCCATTCAACTGTGTGATCAAGGACTATTTAAATGTAATATTCAGATTTTAAAAATTATAATTGTAGTTTTACAGAAAGCATATTCTTTTCAAACGTATAAAATATTTACAAAAATGGGACATTCTTTGGTATATGGTAAAGGGAGCATTATAAATCTGTGGTGTAAAGACTGGATTACTTAGGAAATGGTATTGGATCAATGTGCTATCCAATGGAAGAAAAATTCCTTCACCTTGTCCTACTCGAAATATATTCTAGACAGATCAAAGTCCTCAGTATAAACAAACAAAATATTAACATTATTAAAAGAAAATAAGAATATTCTTATGTCCTTGAACAAGGAAGCCTTTATTAAGACACAAAAACTCAGAAACTGTTGAAAGCAGACGTTGACAGATTTGACTTCATAAAAATTTAAGGTTTTTACACAGCAATAACTGCTTACTTGCAAGTTAAAGGATGAGCAACAAATAAAGAGGTAGCAGATTGGTATCCCAAATTTGTAAGAACTCTTATAATCTGTAAGAAAAAGATAAAACCACCAGTAGGAAATTACGCAAATCAAATTAAAAAACACTTCTCTGAAAAGGAAATTGAAGGTCCAATAATAAAAATGAGAAGCCTCTCCACCTTACTAGATATCAGAGAAATGAGAAGGCAAACAGCGATACGACACTCATCAGATTGTTGGTGAATTTGTAGGGATATTGATACATTTGTGCGATGCTGATGGGAGAGTAAATTGGTACATTTTGGGGGACAATTAATAGAAACTCATTAACCTCAAATTGCACATACTCGGTTAACCAGCAGTTCTATGACTTAATAAGAGAAACTCTTACAGAGGCGCAGAAGGTAACATTTTCAAGATTGTATTGTTTGCAAAAAATAATGGATGATTGGAAACAATCTAAATGTCCATCAATAGCATAACTGAAGTATATTCATATAATGGATCAATTAATGGGAATGAATTTGAACTTTATATCAACTTGGATACATCTTAAAATTATGTTATTGAGTGAAAAAATGATTTGCTGAATAACACTCTGACACTGTCTGGAAAATACATAAAATAATACCCTATATTTCTTTAAAAAATTTGATCTGCTTTTAGACTTACAGAAAAGTTGCAGAGAGTTTCCAAATATTTCTCCCCACCTCCCCACATTGTTAGCCTCTTATGTAGCCACAGTGCAATCATCAGAACAGGAAGTTAACATTTGTACAATATTATTATCCAAACTAAACTCTTCAATTGATCTTCACCAGTTTTTTCACTCGTGTCTTTTCTTTGCTCCAGGATCCCAGTCAGGATCCCCCATTGTATGTAGTTGTTATTTTGTCCTGGTCACCTATAGTCTGCAATTCTTCCTCAGTCTTTCCTTGTCTTTCATGACCTTGACATACCCACTGAGTATTGCTCAGGTATTTTGCTGAATGTCCCTCAGTTTGGCCTGTCCAGGGTATTCTCATGTTTAGACTAGGGTCACTCCTCTGGCAAGAGCTCTATAGAAATGATGCTGTGTCCTTCTCAGCACATCTAACCATGGGGCTCATGATGTTCATAAGTTTTATTACTGGTCATGTTGCCCTTAACGCCTGCTCAGGATGGGTGCAGGAATTTTCCACTGTAAAATTACTGTCTTTCCCCCCTGGAATCAACAAACATTTTAGGGAAGATAGTTTGAATCTATACAAATCTCTTTTCTCTCACACCTTTGCCCACTGATTCTAGCGTCTATCAAAGGCAAATTCAGCTCTCTCTATAATGTTTTAATATTTTTAAAATGTAGAACTTATTATATTACTTGGGTAATAAAATATAAAGCAAAAAATGTATATTTATAGGAAAAAAAACCTGGCAGCAAATACTCCCCAAATGTTAATAGGATAAGGATGAGTAATATTTTCCTTTTTGAGTTTTAGTTTTCAAACCTCACACTATAGAAATAAGTTATTTCTATGTAGACGAAGCTAAACACCAGTAAAGAAGCAACTTTGTATTTTCTTTTTAAAACTACACCATAGGAGTGTTTTAAAATATATTTTCTATAACAGAAAAGAAGTTTCAACTTTCATACAAGTGGACAGCCTGTCACAAGCTGGCTCTCACACCACAGGGGAACTATCGCAGACAGGAAGTATTCTGATTGTATGTAAAAATGGCTAGACCTCAGTTTTGTGGCACCTGAAGTGTTCAGAGACCATTTTAAAGAAAAAGAATGCAAAATTATGAATCAAGAATTAGTAGGGCCCCTCCCAACATCCTGAAACTTCAGTTTATCCAGCTTCAAGGTATGCACATATCTGAAGGGAGCAGAAGAAGGGTCCATATTGACTGCAAAGAGATTCACACAGGTTTATTTTCATAAGACCTTGGAGAACACCTTCTGATATGATTTTCCCCCCTGCCTTCAATATCAAAGAGCCTCAGATAGGGCAGCGCTCTGACAATAAGCATAAAAATAATAACAATAAAGCAGATACTTCTGTAGGACTCACCATGTCTAGGCATTATTATGTTTTGCATATATTAGCCCACTTAATCCATATAAAAATCCCCAAAGATGGGTACTGTTTTTATTCGTTGTTTTACTCATGAGGAAACTGAGGCACTGAGACACATAGTTGGTCATGGTGGCCACATCCACATTGCTTGGAAGGGGCAGAACCAGGATTTGGACTTGTTCAATCTGTTTTCAAGGTGAGTTGATGCCTCCTCTCTGGGAGAATGTCAGAATGTCAGAATTTCAGGGTCCAGCTGCTCTGAAGCCCCGGCATTTGTGTGCCTCCCAGAGGTGTGTTCATCTAAGTAAGATAAGGATGCGAGTTTTAGGCTTGTTTTATGCATAGGTACAAAGTGTAACGCTGGAAGAAGGACCGCATTTCAATTAAGCACAAATTAATAGGAGTAGAAAGTTAGTGAGAAAGATATTTAAAAGTATCTAGATGTTAGTATTTCCTATCACATACTCAGACTTACAGTGTTCCTGTCACTATGTGTGGCTACATTCATAAGGAGTTCTATTTCTTTTTTTTTTTTTTTTTTTTAAAAGATATGTGTGTGTGTGTGTGTGTGTGTATGTGTACATCACAACAACAAGGAGTTCTATTTCTATTGAAAAAAAGAAAGAGAGTAGATAAGTATGCTGATTTGGGGCTAATCATCGATGCCTATGTCAAGTGAGTCTTGCCATTTAGACTGGGAGGAAGAGCGCCAGCCATGTCTGTGGACCGAAGTGAATTGAGGAGGCAGTGTCTAAGGAGAACTCCATCTCCCAAGGACCAACCTCAGGATGTGAAACTAAAGCGATGTTGAGCATCATGCAGATGGAGTGGTTATCCTCAATCTTGTGTTCCTACACTAACATGCATGAGGGATAAATAATATACTTGCCTTTCCATATCAGTAATTCACTAATCAGTGGTTCCAAAATGGGGGGAAGAAGGAAGTCAAATCAGGTTCGCAGCAGTGGAGGGGTGATGGATAATTTGAAAATAAACTCCAGCTGTTTCCAATTCCTTTCCTGAAATAAAGGTCTAAAGAAACTTCCTGGGCTATGGATTTAGTTAAATTATTTCAAATAACTACCCTCTTTACTTCCCTCCTTTTTAATCTTTTATCCTCCTAGGCATGTGAATAAGACACTGGAATAGTAAACAACATAAAACAAAACAAAAACAATCATGTGAATCAGTTTCTTCATATATTGCCTAAGGACCCTCCTAAGGAGACTTTGCCAGCAAATGATAAACTATGGTAGTGAGCGACATCACACCATCAAAATGGATTTTAGCGCCTGCTGTTTCTGTGTGCGATCACAGAGATTTTCAGAGTTTTGTTGTATATTGCACAAAGCAAGGTAAAGCTGAGAAGTTTTCAGGAGCTTTTCTTCTTTCTGATTCCTGTTATATACTGTATAGTGGTTTAAAACAGGTCCAGTCGTGGCACTGTACATGTTCCGATGATGAAATAAATCTAGTTCTTTTAAAGCAATGTATATTTTTTTCATTTCTTTTTTCTTAAAGATTGGCACCTGAGCTAACAGCTGTTGCCAGTCTTCTTCCCGCCACTCCCTTCTTCTTCTCCCCAAAGCCCCCTGGTACATAGTTATATATTGTAGTTATGAGTGCCTCTGATTCTGCGATGTGCGACGCCGCCTCAGTGTGACCTGATGAGTGGTGCCTCGTCCGTGCCCAGGATCCAAACCAGTGAAACCCTGGGCCACTGAAGCGGAGCGCGTGTGAACTTAACCACTCGGCCACGGGCCTGGCCCCAGCAATGCATATTTTGAAGTGATTCTCTCTCAGTGATTTTAAAGTGCCAGTCTACCTATAAGATTCATTAAATATTAGATATGGCTAGATATCCTCTTTGTAATCAAAGTACAGTAACAATACTGTACATGGCACCGGACTATTGTGAAGGAGATCTGTTCCTTAAAAATAGAGGGTCAGTTGTAGAGATAAGTGATTATGAATGTAAATATGAAAGCTGTAATTAAAAAAGAATCATTGTAAATGTCAATTAAATTTTCTCTTTAAAAAAAATTTATAAAAACAAAAATGTTTGCATGGAAAAACTTTTTGCCCAAGGACCTACTATAAATTATGTGTGAGAGTGCAATAGATAGACAAATAACATGATATAAAGAAGTAAACAATTTCTTGGGAAAATAATAGCACTAAAAATATCACCAAATACTAAATGTTCTCCTTGAAATTTCACCCTAGGATGAGACCCGCCTGCACGAGGAGGAGAGATTACTGTCTAAATCATTCTTTCTTTTTCAAATGTCAAGTTTTAAGCTTAAAGATTTTGGCCAAAGCTAGTATTCACCTATGAGTTTCTATGGTGGTGGCTAAGTTTGTTAGTATATGAAATGGTACTGGTTGTACTGTTGATTTGATATCATTTAGAAACTTTTCATTAATAATTCTTACTTCAAGATCACTGGCAAGGGGCTGTTGATGTCGGTGAGGAGGTTTTCCGTCTTGTTGTAGTCATTTCATTGTAGTGTTCCATGGTTTGTTGTAGGCAGGAGCACATCTCCTTGAGACGATTTAGCTTCAGAGCCTGCTGGCGAAGGACAAGCTGCAATGCCTTATATACATTTTGATCCCTGCAGCTGGACTCAGTTTAATACTAACCCCCATCACATTCCATAGGTCTCTACCCTCCGAGAGCCAAGCTGGTAATACAGAGGCATCTCTCATCGCTGACAGATAATGAGCAAGCTGACATCTTTGAACGAGTTCAGGTAACATTTAGAGTTCTCACAAATAAGATATAAGGAATGAGAATTAGATCCTATTTTTGTAAGTTCCTTTTTTCATGCCTGTATCTGAAGTTAAAGATATATATCTTATTGTGCTATTTGATAGTCCCTAGAATGCCACTGTTACTTTTGCTTCCAAGAGTAGTTAAATGTTCAGCTTTATTCCTGTTTGTCTGCTAGACACATAAAACCTAGTGAGAATAAAATAAAATGAGAAAAGCTGTGTTGCCATAGTGTGCCCTTGGTTTGTCTGTTTAATAGAAAATGAAGCCGGTCAATGACCAGGAAGAAAATGAACTTGTGATTTTACATCTGAGGCAGCTGTGTGAAGCCAAGCAGAGGACACACATTCACATCGGGGAAGGCCCTTCTGTGAGAAGATGTTTTCTCCTTGACTTGTTCTTATTTTATTTATATATTTAATCAAAATGTCACAGCAGGCGTGAAAAGAGTGTCTTTCCTTTGTGTTTTCATCTTTAGGGCTAAAGACCTATCAGATTTATTTTTCAGCATTTAAGGAGTTTTATAGACAATTTTAGTAGACCTGTGCACATTAAGATAAAATAATAGTGGTTTTTGGTATAAAAACAGTAATAACAAATGTTCGTGATTTAGAATGAACACACATCTTTCGTTATAGTAATCCATTATTTTCTTTCAAATTCATATGAACATCTTATTTCATCAAAAGCTTACATAGCCTGAATGGTCAAGAGCAAACATGGGGAGAAGTGCTAGTATCATGCAAACAGCTATCCTAGCTGCAAACCAAGGGATGATATTTTTGTGCACGTGATGTAGAAGGTGTTCCCAGCTGCATACAGATAAAGCAAGACCACCAGCAATGGCATCTAAGGGATCATGACATATTTACCTTTTAATGGCCCTAATTCAGGTTATGTCTTTATTTCACTATATTCAGAACAAACTGAGTATCACATTATTAGTGATTCCTTAATTTATGCATTAAATAAGCATTTCGAGAGAACCTTCTGTGAGCCAAGCTGGGTGATAATGGTGAACAAAAAAGAGATGCATGAATGATATTCCCACCAGAGAGATGGAATATTCCACAGGGGCATGCAGACAGATAAACAGATACATGTAATAGAGTCATCCCAGTCCTTATACACACCCCAAGCCCATCCAGCCCACATTCCTATCCATTATTTTCTTTCCTTTCTTGATGAGGGTCATATTTCTTTTATTGGTAACTTCTTAGAGGACCCCATGGAGCCTGTGCTGGTAGGGCCCTTTATTGCCTCCTGCATAGACTGTGCTGAAGCCTCCAGCCTGGTCTTTCAATCTCTGATTTCCCTGTCCTTTAGGTGATTTTTTTAACACTCCCTTCAGATAAATACCCCCCAACCATTACTTTCACAGTGATGCCCCTCTGCTTGTAAATTCTGATTAGTGCGTCTTCCTACTCACCTGGCACTTAAGACCAGTCAAGGTTTTATCTCCAGCCTCACTTTTCCACGTTACCTTCCACAGCTTCCCTCTATTTTAGTCAACCACCTGCACAGATGTCCATGAGCATTCCAGTCTACATGATTTTTCCATCACCATCCCCAGTGCTGGGAAAGTCTTCATCTCCTTTTTTCTGCCTGTCTGAAGATTGTGTATCCTTTTCTTCCTAACCACTGATACCTACAACCATTCTTCATACTTCCACATTTGATATTTGTATGGTGCTTTGTGTTACTGCTAAATGTGAATATATTCATGCAAGGAAATGGTAAGGTTTCTCTCTTGGAAGTTTTCTGACACTAAAAACCATGTAATATACATAGTAACTTAGTTCAATAGGATAAAATAGAGAGAGAACCTAATATAGTGGACACATTGTAGATTTTCATACAATTTAGTACTATCACTGAATACTTGTTGATCTAAAGGATAAATGGCCCCCTCATAAATGAAAATGGAATTATAACAGAGGCACTAGCAGAATCCAGCTTTACTAGAAGATGCTTTGTTCTCTGACACTTATTTCCTGTGTTTTTCTTGGTAATTTGGATACAAATTGGAAAAGGATAGTTAGAGTTGTTAATCAAAATAACAGCAGTAAAAATTGACATTTCAAGTTTAATTTTTGTTAAATGCAGCAGGAATATATTAGTGGAAAGGAAGGGCATAAAGGAAAGATCTTATTTCTGTCTTTTTTATTATGATATTAAAAATTAAATCCTTTCCCTTATAATCTGTGTGTTCACAGTGTGGAACCTAAATTATTACTTCTTAATAGAGCTATAGAAGAATTCTTGTGCTTTTTAATGGCTTAGTCATAAGCCTGTCTTTAAAGCCTCATTTAACCTTGAGTATTTCCAAACTGAAATTTCTGTTTTTCTTTCTATAGACTATTTCAAATAGTACAATCCCGGAAAATGCGACAAGCAGTGGAAGGTTCAAACTTGACATTCTGAAGAATAAAGCTAAGCGATCCTTAACTAGCTCCTTGGAAAATATCTTCTCAAGGGTAAGATTAAACCAAGGCTTGTTTAGTTATTAATGTCTGTGTCTTCTAACTGCTTTGTTTCACTCTCAACTGGCTCACAGAAGATTTAGAACAACAACGCCAAAAAAAAAAAAACTACTAAGAAAACTTTAACACTTTTTAAAAATAATCTCTCAAAATAAGCGTCACTCTCAGATCTAGATTTATTCTGGTGCCTTTGCTATCTGAATATGAGCAGTAGAGGTCTCATGGTAGAGTTATACTATGTATAGAAAAGGGGGAATAGAATATCGATGCCCAATACTGTAAGAACTTTTTATCCTTTGCCACATAAAGTTATAAAGAAGCCCTTCTTTTGTTTATTAGGAGCTGATAGGGAATGCTGAAAATTGTAAGTATAAATTAGCAGAATTTATGTATTCCATTTAGTAAATTTGTATATTCTGTTTAAAAATAAGCAAAATAGTTCCCCTTCCCCTTCATTTTCCTCTTCCTGAACAACTCAGTCCTAAAGCTATTAGGTGAGATCTAGCCCGGTAGATGTCTTGGGTCTGGAAAGCAGGGGCGCCATAGTCACTCAGAGCAAGGAGATGGAGCCTACTGGGGTGCTGTGTGTGGGGCGGGGCGTCCAATGCAGCTTGTGGAAACCAGAGTGTAGTGAGGAGGGCGTCAGTTTCGGAGGGCAACCTGGTTTGGGAAGTCAGAGCCTGAGCCAGTGACGAGGGCTTGCCTGTAGAGGGATGGCCCAGTGCAGGATGTCAGAGCCAGAGGAGAGGGGAAAAGGCATTCAAAGTGCCCAGTACAAAGAGTTAGCGTCTGAGCAGAGTGAGGATGGCATCCACGTGTGGGAGTGGCAGCCCCAGTGTGGGGTGTTGGAGCCTGAGTGGAGTGAGGAGAGTGTCTGTGAGGTGGCACTTGTGGAGATTGGTTACACACAGGGGACTGAACAAATATGTAAATGTATTAAGGACAGTGGGATTCTGGGAGAAGGGAATTACAAATATGAAAAGGGAGGAAATTAGAATGAATCCTGTGTGGCTGGATTCAACTCAGAGGTAACAGTATGAAATCTTGGTTATCTATCTATTTATTTATTTTTTGAGCAATGGAATTTTATATATAATATTATACATATATAGTATATATGTATTAACACATATATGTGTGTGTGTGTAAATGTGTACATATGGTCCATGGCTCTGTCCGCTGATAGGAGCTAGGAACAGCTTTTCTATACATAGCAGATAATAAATTAAGCCTGCATGGGTGACACCTCGCAACCAGATTTTGGTTTCTATATATCATTCCCCAAGAAGGAAACAGGATCCTGGGAGAAATGCTAGTTCCAGGACTGCAGGGAAAGTGCAAGATAACTCCAGAGCATCTTGGTGTCCTATAAGGAAGTGCTCAAAGAAAGATGGTGATATGTCATAAAGACGTAAAAACTTTGAAGAGCTCCCACTGGTGACTTCTGCAACAATATGAGCATCAAACTAAGTGATAGCAACAGATTGTAACCTGTTGCATAAGATAGGAAACTATGAGCCTATTCTGATATGAAAAATAAATGAATACATTGAAAGTTTGATTATGATCAGGATTTAATGGATGTAATTCACACTTATTAATTACAAATGGGAAAACAGTAACTTTCCAGTGGAGATGGCTGGCAGAGACCACCTTAATCAAGTGATCAAATTGAACATCATCAGCATTGGGACAAGTTGAAATCTTGTGGCACCTGATACAAAGAATACAGCACCAGTTCTGTGGTATTTCTGCCAAAGGGGCAGACCCTGAATCTAATCATGAGCAAACATCAACAAACCCAAACCAAGGTGCAGTCTACAAAGTAACTAGCCTGTTACCTTCAAAAGTGTCAAGTTCAAGAAAGTCAAGTGCAGTTGAACCTTAGGACACAATAACTTCTGCTATCTGGTCTTCTTATTTTTATTTCTTTGCTAGAACTCAAAATACTCTTATAGGTATTTCTCTTAATAATTGAAATTCTTCTAATTCTAGCAAATCATGGTCAGCTGACAATACTATTATTTTATCAGCAGAAAGCAGAATCTAGGAAAAGAGCATCTAGAAGATTTGTTATAAGTGTGTTAATGGAACTTTTCATAAATTTTCATACCTCTGTTTCTCTAAAATTTATAGATTAGTTATGTTCTTTCTTTCTCTCCTTCCTCCTTCTCTCCCTTAGTGTTTAGTGAGAATTTTAGTAGAAAGGCGATTGAAGTGGTCAGGAGACCTGAATCCAGGACCTGGCCCTAGCAGATTTTATTTTTATGACCTTGGACAAATTATTTATCTTTTCTAAGCCATCATTTCCCCATTTGTGGAACGGGCATACTAATACCTGCTTACCTCACATTACTGTGAGGATGAAATGTCAGCATGTTAGGAAAATATCACACCCTAGATATGAGGTGTACATTCAGCAGTGGTAAGCTCTGAAACTTCTGTCATTTACAGAATGACCAAGTGTTCAGAGTGTTATTTTCTTTATCCTCATTTAGGACTTTGGCGTTCTGCACTGTCTTTGCACAGCTGACTTTGAAGTGCCGCTTATGTAGCCTTGAATGGCTGTAATGACTCTTTCAGCAAGGGCACAGCCAATCTATTTTGGTCAAGGTGGATACTGTAACTTTTGTGTCCCAAAGTGCTGCCAAGTGCCGTAAATTATGTGACCTAACAAGGTCTTGCTTGCGCCACGTGCAGCAGAATGGACTTGTTGGGAAGGTTGGCAGCTACCCATGTTGTAGTAAAGGTTACATAGAAAAGGGGGTTTGTGTACTTCTAAAACTTGTTAGTTTATTTTTTTCTCTCTGAGTTCTATGGTAGGAAATTGACACTCTAGTCATAGAGTTTGGCTCATAATGGCTTCCATTTTTAAATGTCAAAATATTTTATTTAACTAACTATAGTTGTTTATGAAATAGGATACATTTTTGAAATGCTTTAAAGCTCAGCTCATTAATGATTAAAAAGTGGGTCCAAGGGAAAAAGTTTGACACGTGTATTACCAAATCATAATATAGTAAAGCTGAAAAAGCTATCTGTTCACAGGTGAAAAGACAGTGTGTTGTATTCTGATTGTTTATTGCTTTTTCTTAAGTTGAAGTTTTCCAAAAGAGGAATATTTACTGATACATTTATTAATATGTATATATATTTCCAAAAGAGAAGTATTTACTGATATAAAGTGTGAGTCATTGGAAAACAGTCATCATTTCCTGCTTTCTTCAAGGGTAATATCCACTGTCCTCACTTGTTGAAATGTGTGAATTAATGATCGTGGTAGTACAATATAATTTTAAATTAAGTGTGTTTTTCTTTGTGCATCAGAAAAACACCTGGATAAAACACTTCTATGCGTAAAATGTGTGATTTATGTTGCTTTTCTCATAATGGAAATGGTTTGATACCCATCTGACTACTTTTCTATTGTGACCAAATAACCTGTTTGAGATAACAAGGCAGGGTGGCATGTAAGTGGCAGCTACAAATAGCAGAAAGCAACATGACCTTTACTATAGTTTCCTCCTGGCCACACGCACTAACCCAATAATTTTCAGCCATATATGTAGTTTATTATTGGAAGTATGTCGTATTGTATAGAACTGAAGAACTGAAAGAACCTTGATCAGGTTCTAGGACACTTGCAAAATAACACTTAACCAATTTAGGCTAATTAGTTTTATTTGTCATTCTGCTTTTCACAAAGCTCTATCTTCAGGAGGTAGCATTGAGTAAGAGCTTAATAGCTTTACTTTTAAATTGTACTTCCTGGGTTCAAAACACTGCTCTGTTCTTTGACTGTGTAAACTTTGGCAACAATGTCTATTAGAACTTCCGTCTCCTTGTCTGTAAAGTTGGGCTAAATAACTATACCTACTTCATAGCATCGTTATGAGGATTAAATAAGATAATGCACTGTAAATGTTTAACATAGTATTTGGCACGTGATAAACATTCAGTAATATTAGATGCAGCTATTAATTTTATTATTGATATAGTTGTTGTTATTTAGGGAGCCACCAGAGATAGAAAACTATAATTAATATACATAGATAAGAATAAATATTGTTTCTATGAAACAAAGATGCCATACACATAAAACAGTCAGTTGAGAACAAGAAAGAGCTCTTAAAACTTTCTGAGAGTGGACATAAAAAGAAAAATTCAATAGAAGGCTTAGAAAGCTAGAGTTGAAAACCCTCCCAGAAAGTAAAGCAAAATAACAGGAACATGGAAAAATAGGAGAACACGGTAAAAAGTTAAAGGATCAGTCTGGAGATCCAAAAGCCAAATGGCAGGAGTTGCAGATAGAGAAAATGCATGTAGAAATTTTCAAAGAAATCATTTAAATAGTTTCTCAGAGCTAATGGACGTGTTTCAAGATTTAATGGGCTCAGAAAATGCACAATAGAACAACTGAATAAAGCTGTGCCAAGGCACATCGTTGTGAAATTTCAGGGCGCCCAAGGGTAGACTTAGATTCTGTTCCAGAGAAAAATAGTAGGTCATACACACACGTGCTTAAGAATCACAATGGCCTTAGACTTCTGTACCAAGAAACACTTGAGCAATGCTAACATATTCTTAAGAAAAGTTTCCAACCAGAATTGTATATTTAGCCAAACTGTTAATGAAACAGTCCAGAATAACGACATTTACAGACCTGTAATTAACAACAAAGAAATTACCTCCCAGTCTCCCTTTCTCAGAATGTACCCAGAGTATATGTTCCACCAAAATGAGGAATTAGACTAAAAAAGAGGAAGACATGAGATCAAGGAAACAAATTCCAATGTAGAATAGCATCAAAGGAAAATTTCTAGTTTTGTAGTGAAATAAAATACTGGGAAGATCTATTCAGCAATCCTAAATTGCAACCAGACGAGATTGGGACAGGAAGACGGAGGTCTCCATAATGGGTAGCTCAAAGAAAAAAAAATGTAATTGATGGATTATGTGATGTTTAACCATACTGAGACTTTTTGGTGACTTTTGTGATAAATTAGTAACTGCTGAGGCTGTTGTTAACTCCATGAAAACAAATTGTAAAAGATTTGAGTTGTAGTAATAGTAAGTATGTAGCTCAGGAGCAGATATTTAAGCACAAAATATTGATTTAACTGAAACTTGTGAAATAGCTGTATTGAGAGGAGAGGGAAAGAGAGAAGTATGTGTGGGGATGGATAAACAAGTGAGAATATGGAAGTCTCATCTTCCAGAGTAGGAAGTCAACAGATAGTATGTGAAATGGAAAGGTTAAAGAATAATAATGTAAACTGAATAGCAGAAGCATTGGTGTAAATAATTTCAAGTGTTTACTTTTGTGGAATGGGATTCAGTGGGTCAGAGAAGGGGCTGGTGACTGCCATTTTCTGTTAAAAGCTTGGTAGCACAATTTTGACTTTTGTAATTTTGTGTAGGTATTACTTTGATTAAAATTTAAAAGAGAGGCCAGCCCAGTGGTGTAGAGGTTAAGTTCGCACACTCTGCTTCCGTGGCCCGGGGTTCGTGGGTTCAGATCCTGGGCATGGACCTACACACCGCTCATCAAGCCATGCTGTGGTGGCGTCCCACAAAGTAGAGGAGGTTGGGCAAAGATATTAGCTCAGCGACAATCCTCCTCAAGCAAAAAGAGGAAGGTTGGCAACAGATGTTAGCTCAGGGCCAGTCTTCATCACACACACACACACACACAACCCCCTACACACACACACACACAAATTAAAATGAAATTTAACCCCCTCCTCTCGAAAAAGTAAACCCAAGAATGTATGGAGACAAATTTAGAACTGTAAAGCGCTCTAGAAATAGTGTGTTTTTTATTTTGCAGAGTCACTGTCACACTGACTTGACTTGTATTTCTAGTTATTCTTTGTAGAACTTTTCCATGTGTTTTAGAGTTACATAGAATGCCTCAGTGTGTATTTAGTCTCTGAAGACCTTCTATGATGTACCCAACCTGCTTTCCATCCTCTTTTCTTCAATAATTGGCTTCACTTTCTTCCTATACAAAGTGAGGGAAATAGATGAGGTGATCTCTTTGGTTCTTATTTCGTAGCTCACCTATGAAATCCATACCAAAGGACTATGTGAAAAGAAAAACAAGAACCAATTAACCAATATTGAAGTGGATTGATATCTAGTCTTCTAGTGAGAAATGCTTTATTGAAGTAGTTTTGCATTATGGAATAATGAATGAAGCTAAATCCATACATTTTAGGAATCGGTTTTCTTTTTTTAACCTGTGTTTATTATAATCCTGTAATGTAAATTATGATGTTTGTAATCGAGGTTGTTTGGAGATTGTATGTATTAAACCATTTTCTTTATAACAGTTGTGGTTTATTGTGCTGTACCTTCCACATTTGTGTTTATCTGTATGAGATACAAAGTTAATGGGGCTCTCGCTGATCTTATGGGGATCTCCTGGTCTTACGGATGAATAATGTTTAACCTTGTAACCAAAGTGACTTCAAAAAGCTTGGTCCAAATACCTCAGTATCCTTTGGCTGATTTAGAAATAATGGAAATAGATGGCGAATAGTTCTATTTACTGTGCTGGAATGGTTGTTAATAGTGCCAAAGAATTTGAGTGAACAAAAAAAGATCAATTTAATGCTGACGTAAAGAGGCAACCTTCAGCTGCCTTTTACAGTTTTAAAGTAAAGATTCAAACCATATAAACGCTTTAATTTCATTCTCCTCGCTCAGGGAGCAAACAGAATGCGAGGTCGCCTTGGAAGTATGGACAGCTTTGAACGGTCCAACAGTCTTGCTTCGGAGAAGGTATCTACGCAGAGCTCCCGTTTTTACTACTAATTGTGACTTGGCCAAAACCAACACTGATGTGGTAATGTGCATGCTTAGTTATGTTGTTATGATCCTTTATGACTTAAAAAAAATAAATATTTGAGGCTTTTAAATAAGAAGATTCTGGATATTAGCCTGTTGCTCTTTCTGCCTGTTCTGCTGAAGCTTTCTCATGGAGGGACAGAACACAGCCCTTTCTGGCTAAGTTTGCCCCATCACGCCCTTTACTGTTTGGAGACAGTATGCTTTGGAGGACAATATTTAAGCAACCGTTGATCCAAAGCTATAGAAAAGTGAGCCATGTAACTACCACACTGTACAGTGATCTTTTTATCTTTTGTTTCCTCCCTATGTTACTTTTCCCCCCCATTTTTAACCATTTCAACTGTAACATTAGGCTCTTCTTTATCTCGTAGACACTTCTCAGCACGTTTGGTTTCCTGTTTCCTGTTTCATGCAACATGTAACCTGCGGCATATGCAACTTGGTTTTTTAATGGAAAAATATTAAAATATTTTTACTAAACTTTCTGTTGATAAAATTGAGGGCTTAATCCAACTATGAGTCTGCTAACCCTAACCCATGTTTATCAAGCTAAACATTTATACAGCGTTGCCTCTTCTGGAAAGTATAAACAGCATACCTGTCTCAATTGAAAGATTTATGATGTCTCCCCATGCAATATGAGAGGCATTCCAGCATAGCTCACTTTCCATTTATTTCCTGTTTTTCATGTCTTTTAAAAAATTTTACCTCAGGGAACACGTAGTTGGATAGAAACATCCAGAGTGAAGGAAGATACTTAACAGGCTTTATTTTATTTTCCTGAAGGCTCTGCCACGAGACTTGGACACTTAAGCGTTGTGATATTGTTTTGACAGTACAGGAAACAAGAGACTGATATGTCGCGGAAATCAGTAGATACGTAAACACAGACCTCACCCTCTTTTGGTCATGATCTCTTTTCATCTTTCTGGCAACAACCAGAAAAGTACAGTAGCTATAGTATTTTACCACAAAGCATTAGGGAAAGAATACCTTTTCTTATCATCCTTTTCCCTCTCTGGCCTATCTTTACGGATGCTGTCTTGCAGCTGGTTATCAGAAGAAATGGGTTGTGGTGATACAGATTGGCCTTCAGCATGGATTGAGTAAAAAAGAAAAAAAACACAGTTTTGTCATGACTCAGGAGGAAGAAGAGGCACCCTGTCACTTTGGAGCTCTGTGTTTAAGCAGGTCTGCCATGATCCACGTAGGAAAGAGAGACCTCACTGCTGCTTGCTTTTTAGGATTACTCACCAGGGGACTCTCCTCCGGGGACACCACCAGCATCCCCACTGTCGTCAGCTTGGCAGTCGTTCCCTGAAGAGGATTCTGACTCCCCGCAGTTTCGAAGACGGGCACACACATTCAGCCACCCACCTTCAAGCACGAAGAGAAAGCTGAACCTACAGGATGGGAGGACTCACGGGGTTCGCTCCCCTCTGCTGAGGCAGAGCTCCGTTGAACAATGCAGGTGAGTCCAAACTTCTCTCCTGAATGTGGAAGAAAATTCTCCCATCGCTCTCTTCTGATCCCTGTGGAGTCAAGATTGACTGTGACTTCATGCTGTAGCCAACATTTAGTTTTTAGAAAGACCATCAAAATAAACTGAATGATAAAAACCTTAGTTACTAAGGGAAACAGGCAAGATTTAAGACGCATCCAAAGAGAAAAGTTAAAGCATTTTGGATGGAAACCTTTTTTTTTTTTTCAGAAAAGGGGAGAAAACAAGATATCATGTAATTGTTTTGTCTGAAAAACTTGCTGACAGCACATGTTACTCAGTGTCTCCTTGATGGTGGCTCTGATGAGACAGTCAGCAAGTTTGAAAATAGCATAGCAGTAGAAATTCCTGATAGCTTCCAGTAAAATAGAAGGGTTAAAAAAATCACCTTCATATATGAGATCAAATTTGGCTATATTTTATTTCATAATAAATTAAAGCCAAATATGAAAATTGTTAAAAATTTTATCTAGAATAAGGTGGTATCTATAAAAATGAATACAGATACTATAATTGACAAGAAGTGTCCATTAAAAATTATCTTATGTGGTATTTAAAAAATAATTTAACAAAATTACTTGGCATTTGGTAGGGAATAATAAAGGGAATAATCTTGGAATTGTAGAATGATTATACTTCTTACTGCGTAGCACAAATCAGAATTTATATCCTAGAACTTATTTTGTTTCTCTTCTTTACCTGAGTTTGATACAGGAAACAGAGTCTGCTAGGGATCCCAGTTGGAGAAAAAAAAACAACCAGAACTCTAAGTAAAAAGAAGGTTAATTTTTGTATCAGTTGTTATCAAATTTACCAGCATTTCTTTTAAGGATACAATTTTATCCTCATTGTTGTTTTCTGAATGATTTGAGATTAAAAATAAGAGTTTAAGATGTATAAAAATGCAGTAAATTAACAGAATTAATTATCCTCAGATTTTCTTTTATGAAAAAAGTTAAGTATTCATGTGTCTATCAAGGTTTTTTATGATCACTTCACTTATATTTATCCAAGGCAAGAACTCTCTTTTTTCCAGGAAAAATTATTTTCAAGAATTTAAAACATTAATTATTTTAGACTATAAATGATGTCTCTAGTCTTCCTTATGTTTTCCACATTTTATAATGTATATGCTCAAATGATTTCTATCAACATAAAAAGATGCTATTTGTATCATGGTAAAAACTTGCTGTGAAAAGAATCTTCTGGGAAAAAAAAAGAGCTTTGTAGGAGATTTAGGAATTCGGATCATACCACGGCTGCACAATTCCACAGGCTGCGGGGAAGAACGTGGACCTTAATGGTTATTAAGCCGACAGTATTATGACTTCCAACAACCAAACATGTTCTTAAATTTTTAGAAGGATGTATATCTTTAAAATAATTAAGTCTTTGAACTACTGATAATCAAGTCTTTGAACTCTGGAACTTGTTTCCTGTAGTTATTTGTGCTTTCCTACTTTTTTCCTTTTAAGTATCTTTTGCATGTTAAAATGAACACTTTGTTGTAAGATTAAGAGTTTTTTAGAGACAAACACATATGATTAGAAATACTGCATTGATGAGGAATTCAATTTGTGAGAGTGAACTGGGTCATAGTCATCTAAATAGACAACTACATGCTCCTTTTTTTCCCATATAAGATCCAGTCCTGAGCCTTTAAAAGAAAGATTAAACTGATAGCAAGAACCCGTTTATATGCATTTTCATAGTGAATGAAGATTTTGCCTAAATATAAATTGAGACAAATTTGCTGTATTTTCTGTACTCAGCATTCATCCGTCAGTTCGGCGCATTCACAAGGAGAGTAACTCTTCCTCCAGTCTTCCAAGTCTTCACACTTCCTTCTCTGCCCCTTCCTTCACTGCCCCCTCTTTCCTGAAAAGCTTTTACCAGAATTCAGGTAGACTGTCCCCACAGTATGAAAATGACATCAGGTGAGATCAGTGTCCTCTGTTTGCAAAGCAAAATTTTCTGCAGTGTTATACTGATATGTTACTAAAAAGTGGCTAATCCATGTTGGAGTGACATTTATGCATCCATATGTTGTGCTTATTCTAATCTGTTTCTGATATGCTGGTTTCGATTCCAATTAACTTTATTAAGGAAACTTTTAAAACCAGTATTTCAGAGCTTTTTGATGACATGATTATCTTACTTTTTCAATTATATTTTTTGTACTATTTGTGTGTTTCTTTGCCTTGGGCCCCAGAGTCTAAGCTGTTTTGTTTGCAACCAGACCTGGTGCTAACACTTACTAAGCAGACCTCCCCTGATCATGCCTTTTCTTCTTAGCCTCTCTGGACATATCTTATGGAACCCAAAAGCCACTGATTTAAACAACTGTACTATAGTGATGGATACAATATATCTTTATTTTTAAGTATATAGGATATTTCTTAGGCATTTTTTTTCAATGACATAGACTTACTTTTCTGAATCTCAGTATGAGTCACATAATGGGTACAGGATCATGTTGATAGCAGCTCTTTCAGATAGGTGAGGGACCTCTTGAATCTTGCAGACATTCGATTTTGTTTTGTTTTTTGTCCCAAGTATTGGAAATAGCCTGTTAAATCTTGTTCTTTGCTCTTATAGCTACACAAAATTAAATGTAGTGATTTTTGGAGAATTGCCTTTTTTTAAAATTTGAAATTATGAAATCTTACTGATCATTCAAATTCTTAGTGAGGTGTTCCAGCCTTTGGAAAGAGCTGGGTTAAAGTGAGAATTCTTCTAAAGAGATTATTGTTGGCTTAGAAGTTTATGAGATTCATTCCTGTTTTTATGTGTCGCTTGACTCATTTTTGTTGCTGTATAGTATTCCATTTAATACACCACAATTTATCCACTATCTTACTGGTGGACATGTGGGTTGTTTCTAGTTGTTTGTTAATTGGCAATTCTTGAAATCAAGGAGAGGAATACATGCTATCGACCAGCCTATGTGCCACTAAAATCTTCTTGGGTATTCCTTTGGCCTCTCTTCTTTTAAACTTAGGAAATCCTGAAAGTTAGCATATAATTAGGTAAGCTTCAGTAACTAGTTAAATTAAATTAATCCTTGAATTGATAGAATTAATCCTGGATTAGATATCTCTGAGTATCTCTTGTCCATTTGTGTCAATTTTTTTTCAGTCCAAGAAAGATAATTAATATTGGATTAATAAAATCTTGAATCCGATCTTTCCTCTGAATTAGTACAAAGTCATGTTCAAACATTGAATTTCTAGTGAAGAAAGTTGATGAAGAATTGATTTTAGAGGTTTTTCAGGGACCACCTTTTCGGGGAAGATTTAAGGGAAGTTAGCTACAAAAATAGTATAGTATATATGGAATACGCAGTGAATTTCGAGAACCAAGAATGTCCACAAAAAATGTCAGTTTGCCTCATCTCTCTAGTACTACCTATTAATAAGAATACAATACTTTTAATGAAACCCATTTGCAGTTTCTTAATTGTTACATTAGTTAAAGTGAGCATCTGGAGAACCTAGTTTCCTTCCAGAAACAGAACCATGCCTGAAAGTGACAATTAGGAATAGCCACTAAGAAGGTCAAAGGTTAACTGTGAATAGGATGTAGAGTACAAAAGCAGTAACTTTTTACAAAAAGTTATTTGCATTGTTTAATATAAAGTTATATGTTCACCTTCAGTAGTTTTTCTTAGGTGTATGTGTTATTCTTGCTCATAGCGTCCCGTAGCGTCTACACCTCCTTCCAAAAGAAGGATATTGAAGTCAGGAGGCAAAGTGTATGTTAGATTTGCATTGAAAAATTTCTTTTTTTTTGTAGTCATCTTATTTGAAGTGCTATATTCAATCATGTGGGAACTTTTAAATTTGTAGGATCATTAAAAAATCATCCGATTTTCTGTACTTTGTAATGTTTTCGTGGCTCTGAGAAATTCTAAAAGAGAGCACTTTTTTGTACATTTTTCCATATTTTTTATACACTTTTCTGTAATTTGACAGCGTAGAATCAATAGGCAAAAAAAAAACCAGTTAAAAATTTCTTTTCGTTAAGAAGGTACCCCGACCATAAGCATACAGCTCAATGGATTATCACAGAGTGGACACTCCAGGTCACCACCGCCCAGTCAATAAATGGAGCGCCGCCAGCCCCCTGCAGGTCCTCTCATTTTCCCACCCATCGCCACTCTTTATCCTAACCTCAAATACCATAGCTTAGTTTTGGCTGGTTTTGAACTTTATATAAATGGGATGACACAGCATAAATTCTTTAATAGCTTTCTTCTTTCACTGAACTTTAGTTTGTGAGATTCATTGCTGTTTTTATGTACACTTGAATTCATTAATATTTATTGCTGTGTAGTATTGCATTTAACATATCACAATGTCTCTGTTCTTTTTCCCATGGACATGTGAGTTGTTTCTAGTTTTTTGACTGTTAAAAGAATACTGTCCTGTCGGCTGTCCTGATGACGTAGCAGTTAAGTTCGCATGCTCCGCTTTGGTGGCTCAGGCTTTGCCTGTTCGGATCTCGGACGTGAACCTACACACTGTTTGTCAGGCCATGCTGTGGCAGGTGTCCCACCTATAAAATAGAGGAAGATGGACATGGATGTTAGCTCAGGGCCAATCTTCCTTAGTGAAAATAGGAGGATTGGTGTTGGATGTTAGCTCAGGGCTAATCTTCCAAAAATAGAATACTGACCTCGATATTATTGTACATGTCTTTAGTTGTACCTACCTGTTCATTATAGTTGACTATCTACGCAGTAGTAAGATTATTGGGCAAAATTCACTTTTAATAGTTGTGTTTCAACTAATAAGTTATTTATAAATTTACTAGTTACAATCTTGGAGAGGGTGTTTTTTAAATTTGTATTTGGAAATAATTTCAGGTTTACAGAAAAGTTGCAAAAATATTATGCAGAACTCCTGCTAACCCTTTATCCAGATTCATCAATTTTTAACATTTACCACATTTGCTTTATTTTTCACATTTGCTCTCTGTTTACATATATATACATGCATACATATATGTGTATATATTCCTTTATTCTAAGCCATTTATGAATAGGTTGCATACATCCTGTCTCCTTACTCTGAATACTTTAGTGTGTATTTCCTAAGATCAAAGATATTCAAGAAGTGTAGTTTCAGTCCAGTGATTTCTGAACTCTACGTCTCTCATTATCACTGCTTTAGAGAGAACATCATATGCACACAATTACCATGATATCCGGAACTTTTCAGAATAATGGGAGAGGAGCTCAGAGTGCTATGAGTTGTAATTTTCTTTTCACTTGGGTACCTCGTGTCTTCTTAGTTGCAGAGAATGGATCTCTAAATATGCAGTTAAGTAAGGTGTAGGGTAGGTTAGCTTATAGGCTAGCAAACACTACTTTTTAAAAAGCATAGTAATTTGAACTTTTAAATTCAGATTAGGCATCCTTCTCCAGGACTATTCTGAATTATTAAAAACTTGTTATGTGATTGTTTTTAAGCAGGCTGAGAAAAAGAACCCAAGATCTTTTTACTATCATGGTTTATTGATTAGTAGGTTCCTTTGCACAACAATGAAATGACAAAGGGAAGAGAATAAGTGTATGTTTTGTTTTATGTTACTACAAATTAATTTTTAAAAATTTGGTGTTAATTCACTGTTTAGTAGCTAAACTATAATTGTGTATGATGATATATTTATATAACATCTATTTATCAAATATAATATATCCTTTCTATAAACAAGCATCTATTACTCCTTATAATTTGCTTCTCAGCTTTTAAGCCTATATTTAAAAAATTATTTATATTGAAATTCACTCGTCAAAAGTAAATGATCATCATTACGTCTAGTCACTTGTAATACTTTTCAATGAGAAAATAAGATGTTTATTGATTCTGTGGTATGGTTTTGGTTCTACCGTTCTCTTGTATTCACTGACAAAAAATAGTATGACTACTTATCATGGTTCATTATTGAAATAACCTATCTATGCTTTATTGATGACTTATGAGAATGCCTTTTTATTCTTAATCCTGGTTTTGGACATACCTCTCTCTGTGCTAATGCCATTTCTTGTTTTCCTGTTGTACTAGACAGGACACTGCTTCAGAATCAAGGTGATTGAAAGTCTTAATATTTTTGTTTAAAAACTTCGTAAATTCTCCTACTGAATATCCCCATTAGTCTCAAAATCAGTTTTGGCTGTCTCCTGAATGCATGCCATCATCCAGGGCTGTGAGGGGTATATAGTGTGGAAATGTGACGCCTGGGGTAATCAGAGATCATGAATGATCATACAACATGTTGATTGCAAACAGAAATCCTGTTTCTACTCTTTTCCATGTTGATATTTCCTTAAAGCTGTGCTGTGGCCTTCAATCAAAGCCTAATTTTAATTTTGAATTAACAGAAGTGAATTTGCTAGTTGGGAGGTACAAATGTGCATATGTACATATAAGGAGTTTATTTCAAATCCAAAGAACATGCAGAAATGAGGATCCTAGAAGAAACATGCTCATAAAATCGAGTTAGGTTTTCACCTGAAGAGAATTATGACTCTGTTTTTGTTCTTCTTAATTCCTGACACGTTGGTTACTCTGAGGCCGTCCAGACTTCCCACTGGTCTGGACACAGGAAAACACCTACTTCCTTATTATGGAAGTCTGACCACATCTGTGATGACATCTTTTCCTCTTGATCTCCATGCTTCTGAACCACTTAACTGGAAATTATTGTTCTTTGCTTTGTTCTAGTTTCTCTGCTTTGCTCATATCACGAGCCCAAAGATAAACAGACATGCCCATCTTTCTATTTGGGGCCACTGACATTTAGATTTCTTTCTAGCTGGAGTAAGAACACAGCATTAAAGATTGGATTAGAATGAGATGTTCAAGGAGAAAGAAGTGCTCAGAAAATTATTTTGGCCACATTGATAAGATAAAACGTGCCTTTTTGAGACTTG